GAGGATGTGAAGATGAGCAGAGATGTAGATGTGCAGATGTGAAGATGAGCAGAGATATAGGTGAGAACGTGATTGTGCAGAGGTGAAGATGTGAAGATGTAGAGGAGGTGTAGTTCTGCAGATGTTTTTTTACGAAGAGCCCTTCGCAGGCTCTTTCGGGAAAAAAGAAATAGACCACACAAATGCATCCGTGCATCACTCAGTCCATGTGTTTTCAGCTTTGCTCGACTCGCACTCAGGGCCTGTGCATTGTCAAGCCTACAACTTGAGGAAGTCTGTGCACCTTCTGTTTTAGATCTTAACCAACGACAGATCGACTTTTGCTTTGAACAGCTTTGGCTCCACGGTGGACAAATCAAGATTGGCGGCTCGCATTGTTTTTTTCGCTATGTCATGTGAGACTTTTCTCTCTCCATGAGTTTGGCTGACCTTTGGAAAATCGCTAAAGTGTGTACATTTACCGTTTTTCAGGTTTACTCCTCGCTTTTGCGCTTGTGTGTGCTCGACATTTTACCGTTTTTCCGTTTTACCGCGCAATGAACATTCAGTAACCAGAGGACACACCGCGAGACAGCACATGATGCAGAGATTTGTTTGTTCATTGACCATGCCAGGCCATGCTGATCACGCCATAGGTCACACTATTTGGTTGCAATGTCGCTTTCTGAGACTACAGTCTTCCCCGAAAGCCTGACCTCTACACCCTCATGCCATCCTGCCCCAGGAGCTCTTGCGATTGGATGTGCGGAACTCCCCCTTCCAGCTGCTCCGTTGTTTTGCAATAAGTGCTTCGCAAGTGCAAAAGTGCAACATGCTGTGATCCTTCCCGAGCCTATGAGGGCTAAACAGATTGGAGCTTCCTTTTGTTGGAAAATTCAATCAAATCTCAACCGGTGTGTTGTGCGAGGCTGACCTTACAGCTTTGCCGTGGCCGTGAAGCTTGGAACCTTTGGGGCGCCCTATCTGCTTCAGCTTTGCTTGCCGGCCTCTATCAGATGCTTGAGCAAAGGCTTTCCACCCGTCATGAGGTCATGAGCTGTTCATTCCTCACGAGGGTTGCGTGGAATCTTTCAAGTCGAGAAATTATGGATGTGTTATCGGATTGGACATTCGGTCTTGTTCCAATCAACTTTCTGCGCCTGAGTCAGTGAAATCAATCGCAATTTCTGAGAGGAAGGTGTGTTGGAAGCCCGGCTTTTCAAGCTCAGGATAGTTCTTATGCCAGTTCGGAAGCGATCAAAGGACTACCATGACCACAACTCCAAGCACTTCAAGGCATGATGCCGGCTTCACGTTTTTTCAGAGCTTAGTTGTTGATCCGGAAGACTCTCTTTGTTAAGTTCCCCACACATCTAGGAACCAAATGAATAGTGCGAGAAGCGTGAGCTATCCTGAGCTAAGCTGGCCTAGCAGCTTACTTCTCGGGGGGAAGGTCGGCCACAACTCCGCCCTTTGTTCCTAGTAGCGTCCTCTTGTTCCTAGTAGTAATGCCAGGAGCTACGTTCGTAGATGCAAAAGACTTTCCAGTTCGATCTTTGGGGTCCTAGTAGCGACGCTCCTAGTAGCGATGCCAGGAGCCCCTAGTCGCTTCTTGTTACTACTAGTAAGGCACTTGTTACTAGTAGCGATGCACTTGTTCCTAGTAGCTTCTTGTTCCTAGTAGCGATGCCAGGAGCCCCTAGTAACCCTAGTAGCTTCTTAGAATTGTGAGGCCTTACGTGCGAAGCATTTTCCTCCTGGCTTTCCCAATGGCTGGCACTGTGTGTGCAATGCCACGGATCTCGCTGATGGACCGGCTTCTGGGAACTCTAGGAACTCTATTTGTGCTCTTGCAATGCTAAACAAGAAGCTACTAGGAACAAGTGCATCGCTAGTAGTAACAAGTGCCTTACTAGTAGTAACAATGTTTGCTATTAGGAACAAGAAGCTTTTGAGGGCCAGCTTTGACAGTGAAATCTTCCCTTCCTATGAAGCTCATTGATCAGGGCAGATGTTGCGAGCTATGTGGCTATGTACGTGGGGTTGGACAATCTAAAACTGTTCTGGAGCGGTGCCACACAATCACACAATTTAATTTCTGAAAATTGACAACATGAAGCTCTGAATTGGGAGCTCGTCTTAAGGGTCAATTCAAATAGATGTTGGACTCAAGGGTGCACCCTCAACGGCCTTGTGCAAGCCGCGATCAGGACAAGTAAAGTCTATCTCTGCGCTGGGGACGTACATGGTGGCCTTTCGTGGCCAAGATGGAAAGGCTGGAGTTTGATGAACCAATCCAAACAAGTTCCCTTCAGTCTCCAACAGCTGTTCAACTGTGCTGCAGGTCGGGGTGATGCATGCTTTTTGCCCACACATGGGGGCACACTTGGGCATGGGAGGAGTGGTTGTGGGCAACTTGCTGCAGTGCCCTTTCCATGGGTGGTCCTTTGACACTTCAGGCGCTGATGAATTGCACCTTGAGGTCAATTGCTCCTTCGCACTCTCAACATGGTGCATCCAAAGATCAAGAAAAACGATCGAAAAGAATGACGTGCCAAAAGGAGTAACCTTTTCCTTCTCCTTCCCAACGTGCAAAAGGATGAAAGGAAGTCGCTCTCATGTAGTGCGTACTCGGATTGGGAGGCGAATGTCAGCACGTCCCCTACCGTCGCTGCAGCCGCGAGATGCCAGAGTCCTCCAGGTTGAAGGCCTATGAGGCGAGAGCGGTAACTGCAAGGCCATGCTTTTATCTGTCTTTTTTATGATTTATAGGAACAAGAAGCTACTAGGGGCTCCTGGCATCGCTACTAGGAGCAAGGACGCTACTAGGGGCTCCTGACCGTACTACTAGGAACAAGAACGCTATTAGGAATTTTCTTTCTTTCTTTCGACCTTTGGACCTTTAGTATACAATGTTGTGACTCCATGACACCGGGGAATATAGCCCCGATCCTTCCCTTAACACAAAACTATCTCGACACAATCACTTCGTCCAGGTCAGAGAACACCTTGAGAGGATCTTCATTTGGTTTGATGCTGAAGGCACGAAGAGGTATGCCATGCACCCGCTTGTGTCTTGAGTTTGGCTCCCCCATAGATAGGAACAACTTCATATTATGAGCAAGCACTTTTATTTAGGGGGCTCTACTAAAGTAGTCTACGGCATGCACTGTTTCATTGGTATTTGCTTGTGAAGATGATAGGGCCCCTCAAAAGGAGATACCATCTGATCTGCGACTAAACCACATAGATTTTGCCGCTCATACAGTTCCAACAGACAGATAGAACGACTTTGGAGGCCGACCCCCGCAATGGGAGTTGATCTGCCACCAAAGACTGGAGGCTGATGTGGAGAGACTTGGTGTGCAGAGTCCTCAAAAAGCGCCACTCATGAGATTTCCCCATTCCACCTGGATGCAATCTAGAGGTGTGGACCACCAAAGAAATCATATAAGAAAAAAGATATGGAATATGGACAAAGAAAAACTGTGTTGGATTTCATTCTCAAGTTTCCCTAAAAATCTAGAAACCCAATCATTAGTGCGTGAGCTATCCTTCCTAAGTAGTAGCTTACTCGTGGGTAGTAGCTACCTACCTAGCTACTACCTGCCTCCTAGCGGTCTAACCCCCCCGGGCTCAACAAAAGAAGTCGCCTTGCCTTTTCCTTTCTTTTTTTCAATCATCTTTTTTTTTTGTTACTTAAAGCCCTGGGGGATTTTCAGAGTTTCCGGGGCACGGAAAAGAATAACGAAACTTGCGCAGCCGCAGTTCTCCCTGTTTTTGGCTAGCACAAAGGCCGGTCGGTGTCGGTAAAGGTACAATGCGGGTGGTTGCTCGATTTTGCTTTGAACCAGGAGTGGCTCCTTTTACCTCGCTGCCATTAGACAGATGGAGTTCGACCAGCACTGCTGCGAAATGCACATGATCCTCAGCCAATCCAGAGTTTTGCTGCATGAATTTTGTACCAATGTTGGAGTTGGACTCTTTGTTTGGCAACTCTGAATCATTCTGACTCCTAGTACAGCCAAGCAAAAGTACTCGGCCCAGCTTCTTCTTCAAGGAACAGCGCTGATCCCTACCACTTCAAGACGCTTCATGCTCCTTTGCCCCTGCCTGTGCTGGAGAAATTTCTAACGGCCGATCACACGGCGACCCAAGAGTACGGCAAGGGGGTTGTCAACGAAGAGCTAAGAGATGAATGGCACATGGCTTCTTTTGAAGAGAGAACACATGGCTTGTTTCTCTTCGGACATCCATCTCTACCTGCGCCCAAGCTGCATAAGAAGGACTCTATCTGTATCTTGTCAATTGCCTGCGTCAATCCTGCCCCACCACCACAAAAGTCTAACGGAGTCTAACGAAGATTGCAGGTGCCACTATCCGCCACCATCTCCAAATCCATTGAGACCAACGTGACCTTCGAGGGCCCTACCATTGTCCACTTTCGCATCAAGACTCCATTGGGCGTGCTGCGTCAGGCAAGCCGTTGGACATTTGCGCTCCCAATGCTTGTTGCCCCATACTTATACAGTGTCTCCATGTGTCTCCATGTCGTGCGGATCTTGGTAGCCAGCGATTAAGGAAAATGAATTGCAATATTCCGAATTGGAGGAGATCCCACTTGTCACAGCCAACACAGCCTTCGCAAATCCTGACGTTTTTTTGAACTATGCCAGTACCGTTTGGTGAGTTTGGGGATCCCAGTTTGGTACAGTGCCCTGAAGCGAAGGTGAAGACCATTTTGCCCATTGAGCCTTTCAAACAGTATGTGGAAGCACGGTGGTATGCAGAGAAAAGAGTTCCACGTGACCTGGCCAAGCGAGTTTGTGGTGAGTGCACGGCGCACGGGGGCATTTTCCTTTGTTGAAAGGCCACAGCAGGCTCCTACAGCAGAGCATCTCAGATTTTCACCTACTTACACCTCACCGGCAAAGTTCTCACGTTTTAGGAACGACTTTCATTCGCTTTGCCGTGTTGCTTTCAGCATCATTTTGAGGCATCATCGCTTGCGCGCTGGCCTGCATCGGAGGTCGTGCTCTGGAGCAAGATCGCGAGGCCGAGACCAACCGCAGTGAGGAATGCAACAAGACAGATCATGCTAATTATATACTGCTAATTTATTCCGCTTAGTCAGAGGAACTTGTGCATACAGGTTTGAGACCTCTGACAGTCTCCAACACCAGCCGCTGCAATCTGGTCAGAGAATGCCTTTTTAGGGCCACTAGTCACTAGTGTACTAAAAAGATCTAAAAAGCTCTCCTTTGTTCTTGACAATGAAGAAAGGGCGTACAGAGCAGCCCCTAGACACCACATGTGGGCACAGAGGTATGGGAGAACAAGGTCTACCACAAGAAACCGGTGCTCGTACCTGGGCGTGATGTCCTTCACAGTTCGATTGTGTATCACATGATTTGTTTGATCGCCTTTGATCGGAACTGAAGCTTTGGTGCTATTGTTTGAAGCAGTTGTCAATAAACTGCGTACCTTTGATGGCAAAGCCTTTACCTTTCTTCAGTTTTGGAGTTGGAAGAACTTGTAATAAGACTATAGTGCTGTCGTTGATCCATGCAGAGTGGCCGGGTTTGTACCTGAGGTTGCTGGAGATGGAGCATTCCTGGACTTCATTCGTTGGTACGATCAGTTCTACTCGGAGAAGTCCAAGGCCCTGTGCTATGATTGGTAGCCTTGGCCCACCTGGCTGTGCCGATTGGGCCAGCCCTGGACGCAAGGAATGCTCCTCTCTGAAGGCAGATCCACCTGAGGTGAGTTTGCCAGCCTCGTCTCCAAGAGATCACCGAAGTGGGTGTGGAGATGATTGGAAGCGATGGCAGCGAAGCAGTGCAAAGCAGCGAAAACACTTTGTGTTGGACTAGGTTTGTCTTGAAATCCATCCGATATTGTAATTGCATGGTTGACATACGTTGACATACAGGCTCGTGGAAACTTCAAACTTCCCAACCCATTGCGTCCAAGGAGATGATCCGCTGTGGAGACATGGAATCCACTGGAAATGTTTCAATCGGGTGTGCAGGCTGCCTCTTCCAACACCGAGAGCAGCCCTCCAGCCAAGCATGATCCCCAGACAAGAAAAGGAAGAGAGAAAGGTCCAAAGTCTAAAGGTTGGCTACTCCCATCTCAATAGCAGCCTGCCCCCCCCCAAAAAGAAGACCCATATACAGTAATATAACAGAAGTCTGTGCTTCATAAGGGAAGACTGCGTTCCAGTAGCCTGGACCCGATGGTCCAGACTCACTCACTATGTGAACCACAGATGAACAGACGGCTCGGGTCTCGCATACTGCAAGGTCACAGACGTCAGATGTTTGGCCTCAAGGTCTGACCTGGAGCATGGCGCCGAAACACGGGTTTGGGGCTGCTTTTGGAGACGCATGATTTCATGTTCCTTTTTGATATGGTACAGTACTACCTGGTTATCTATTATTGAACACTGTTTGAATGATTCAATCAGAGGCGACATTTTTTTGTCATTGATTGCAACGGTCGAGTTCGGATCCATGAGTTTCCACGATGCATTTTGCAGTATCATCATGTTTGTTCCATCTTGCTGTGTCTCCAATGTGTCAAAAGGCGTCCTGAATTCATCACAATATAGTACAGCAACACCTGGTGTGGAGGCACCATTTACGGTATACACGAGTTGCAGCACCGTTCCAGGTCCGCCAGGTGGAGGGAAGACAGCATCAGTTGAGGCCGTTTGTTGGACCGGCGCAAGGGAGGGAAGGCTCTCCAAGCGGTCTCCACGCACACCATCATTGACGGGTCAGACTTTTTGGATGCGTGAGACCATAAAGCTTTATATAACATGCTTTGATGCTCTCTCCTCAGATGAAACTAATGTTGGTGGTTCAGCTCCCTGTTTGAGTCCAATCCGCAACCAAAGAATGCAGGAATGCAGGCACACACTAAGAGAACCGGAGCAAATCCGCTGTTCAAGGCCCGAACTGAACTGGTCCGATGCCCCGAAGCCATCCGAAGCCGATTGCTGAAGGGTCTCGAAGCCTTGCTGCTCTTGAAGCGCCAAGCGCCAGAACTCTACGAGGTCCCATGTCCTATCCAGCGAGGGAGAAGTCGGGGCTGCATCCAACGTGGTGGAACTGGGAGAAAGGAATACACCGCATTGAAACAGATGAAAGAATGAACACCAGGTGAACCGCTAAAGCTTGGAATCTTTTATGCATTTCGCCGGTTGGGATTGACATGATGAGGGTGCCATGAAATTGGAGGACGTTTGGCGGCCTTGCTTACAATCCCCGAGGCCCAAAGTTGCCAAACAAGGAATTGTATTATTGGAGTGTGTTGTGTGAGGAGGGAAATCTGGGAACTCCAAATCTAATCAGAGCAAGGAACAGCTGTCTTTCGGGTTTGCACCTAGAACTTGGTAAGCATTTGAGCATGCTGGTTCAGCATGCTGGTGGCCTTTTGAAGACTCAAATCGTCCTTGCGGGATGCTGAGGGGGATGTGCGTGCCAAGCACATAATACAAACGATCATTTCAAAGGTGCATCCGCCTGAAGAGAGTCTTAATCCAGCTTCGTATTTCGCATGTGAAATCCTGAGGAGATGGACCACCTCCTTTCTGAGCTCTCGAAGCCAATGGCCCGTGAGGCACTATGGAAAGTCTCAAAGCCTTTTTCCAGATTTGTACAATTATACAAGTGTTTCTTCTAACAGGGAAACCCTCAGAGCATGATATTCTTACCTGTCCCAAACACAGGAGCCGCGACGCTCGAGGCACAGGTCGCCTGCATTTTGGCGCTCCAACGTTGCACCGAGAGCGCTCGCTTTGCGCGAGAGGCTGCGGAAGGCTGGGGCATCCGTGTCCAAAACCACAGCATGCCATGCTATGCATGCCATGGTGTCAGTTTTCTTTTCAGGGATATTTGTCAGAATCAACCTGGTGCTGAAAGAGCTGGGAAGGCCGAAGGCTATATTATTGAAGCATGAAACATGCAGGATATTGAAGCTCTTTAAGAGATTCGTTGTAAGTTGTAAGTATTTTGTGTTGCATCAGAGCAGAAGCATTCAGTTTGAGACACTGGACCCCAGGCGCAGATGATGAATTGAGTGACTTGGGCACAGAGGCGCGTTGGCGTTTGTGGAAGCGTTAGTCCTCCTGAATCACTGATCCAACTTTGGACAGCATGTCGTTCGTCAAAGTAGTTGTTTTTTCCTTTTAGTGTATATCTACTCTATTCTACCCTACTTTTACTTCCCAAACAGCTTTGCTGTGACTGTGAGGGGTTCTCAATTCTTGCATAGAAACGATCCTGGGCTGACTCCTTTTGTCTGCTTTGCCTCCACATGGCTTCTGGATGCTGGGCTGAGAGAAATGGTTTCTCAGCATGAGGGTGTGGAGCGCTTGCCTCGAGTACCTTTGACCTTCATAGGAACAACGACGCCTGCATGCAGTGGAAAGACTATCCTTCTTCAATCTATGGTGCTTGATTGGTGCAACGACTGTTTGTGTCGCATCTTCAGTTTTTCAAGTTCCATCAATGTTGATAGTGATAGTGTGTGGTTACCTGTCAAAGATTATAAGCCGCGGGATCCTGATGTTTCTTTTACCAGCGAACATTGAACGTGTTTGCCGCCAGTTTTGAGCACAGGTAAGACAAAGCAGAATCATCACACCCCATCTCTCAAGAACAGCCATGGTAACGAAGGGAGACAAAGCAAAATCGCTTCAACCAGAGCGGCCATGAAAGACAAAGGGGAACAAAGGATCAGGTGAACTTACTCCTTGGATTTTGACGTGCATACAAACAACATACAACCGGATCTTCACGCAGATCTGTGACCTCCACTGGCTTCCCACCGCCGGAGAAGAACATCCGATATGATATGAAATGATATGTACAATATATGGAAATGCGAAGTGCAAAGATAAATGGCATGCACACACACAGCGCAGGTAGGGTGGGTATTCAATCAACCAAGCAAAGATGGGTAAAGCCAAGCTGCGCCCGTCCCAGTCCGCTTTGAGCCTCTCACTCGTCGTGGAAGAGGATCTACGTGACGAGGAGGGGAATGGATGTGTCATCACACAAGTTTGAAAGAGTTTTCGGTTGTGCCGCAGGTTGAGGTAGCCAACATTTTCTGGAAAACGTCTTCCCATTCATGAACAGTCAAGATGGCATGATGCATTTTTCAGGTTTTCCGCTCCATTTATTTGAACTAGTCAGATCCATACCATTTCATTTGGCAGATCGATTGGTTTGTGGCCAGGCTCCACCCTCAGATTGGTGCAGACAGAGCTAGCCAAGGCCCATGAAGGAAGTGGTGTCACGTAAAAATCTAAAAAGGTCTGCAGGGTCGACACAAAATTTCTACCCATTTACGATTGGAGGCTATTTAAGGTGTGGTCTCGCTCAACTTGAAGCTTCTTTATGGAGGTAAAGATTTGGCGGTATGCGGTATGGCCAGAATGTATCAAACAACGGAGGATTTGCACAGGGAACCTGCTGAAGATGAGCCAAGTCAGGCACGAAAGCCTTTTTCTATTGTATCGAAGCAAAACAACTTGGCCGATTTAGATCAACCCCGCCCGTACACCACCGACTGAACTTCAATGTGAATGCACCAATACGATGACAGTTCAATGCCTTGCCAGACTGATTCTTTGTGGCAAGCCGCTTTCACATCCTTTTGCTCTGTCACAGGGCCTTGTATCAGTCACTCCTTTCACAGTTGCCGATTCTTGCCAAGCTTTGGGTTATTGGGAACAGAAACACTTATACTGCCGCTCCCACAAGCAAATCATGGGTCTTGTTGGGGTTAAGTAAGTGCACTCAACGCATGCTCACCGCTTCTCAAGTCTCAAGTCCTCAATCGCTGCAGAAAGAAACACACGGAGTTTGAAAGCAGTGAGTGACTACAGTGTTTTGCTCGCGGATGAATGGACACCTGAAACGTGCCACTCCAATGAAGGATAAAGCCCAGTCTTCACCAACTCTTGGGGTTGGCCAAGGACAGCCACCTAGACATCATAGATTCAATTGTCACACGATCCATCGCGTGCGCTCTGATGCCCATGGATCATGTTTCGAGCATCAGTGACCATGTGGCACCGCTGCCTGGCGGGATTGAAGAGCCACCATCAATGTGACTTGGAGCAGAACTTGGACAAGGAGTTTGGAAGGAGGATATTATATAACCATTTTGCAATTGACATTACTTTGTACTTGAATTTAACATCTTATTCTACGTATCCAGTGGCTTTTTCATGGTCGATTCCCGTGGCAGCAGTCAGACTATGTGAAAGATATTGTATATTAAACATCATACTATATATATAGATATACAGCACTATACATCCTTCCAATAAGAAGGGACATGAATCTGGAAGATAGACCTGACGAAAACGGCGTGTGACTTCCACGTCTGCCTTAGTTTGGATGCCTTTTGGTTTGACAACGATATCACCTGTGCTTTGAGGTCGCCGCACCTTTCTGGCCAGAGACCCAGTCAAGCAAGAATGGTCTTGCTACTAGTAGCGATGCACCTTGTTACCAGTAGCTTCTTGCTTCTAGTAGTAATGGCAGGAGTTTCGGAGCTACTAATGGCGATGCCCTTGTTACTGATGTTTTGGAGCTTTGTTGGGGGTGTGAGCACAAGATAAACCAGCGGGAACGTCTCGATTCGAAAAGTTTGAAGACTGCGATGCTGAAGCAGCAGCAACAAAGCATTTCTTTTTTAACCGAGTCCGGGCGGTAGTTACAACTTCAGAAGTCCGATAGTTTCAGAGCAGATTCATCAAGACAACGCAGACTGACATGTACCAAAGTGACCCTTCATCCCGCTTGGGATGAAGGGGAATACCCAACTTCGCTATAGAGGGAGAGGGGATTTTGTTATTCCTCCTCCATTCAAATCGTGAGAAGGGCCAAATCTCCCCAATCACGATCTTGCTTCAGGTGAGGATGACTTGTTAGAGGCGCCAGCTCAAACGAGGCACTGATAGGGTCTGGCTGATGACCCAAACGCTGACTATTGGATGCCATTGACACTTTTGATAATTCTTGGCTCTTGTGAAAGGACTTGGCTGTTGCTATCCTAAGAATTCTGAGTTCTCTTGACTGCCCCTGCTTGGTGAGGCAACCATCCAATAGTCACAAACGACAAGTCAGCAACCGATCCATGACCTACGAATCGTCTGCGGACAACGAGAGGACGGACCTCAGGACTTCGGGGCAGACGAGATATTCGCAGACGAGGGATTCTGCTAATCACTGTCTGAACTACAAATAAGCTGGCGTTTTAAAGGCACCTCCGCATCATCACAGATGATATTTTTCAGCCTTGGGTCATGGTAGTTGCATGTGAGAACTGATTATGATTCCCTTTCTGCACACGCAGGACCTTGTCGCTGGATAATATTTCTGCCGTTCTAGAATCTCTCAAGGAGCCTTGTTTGTCCGATTTTTGTTGCAAGATGCTGGCATGTAAGCAAGGAGCAGCAGCATGCGGCTAAAGTCAGTGAAAGATATGCAGCTTGATAAAGAAGTCTGAATCCATGACATGTTGATGGTCCTCATGGACAAATTGATGAATAATATTTGCTCTTTCCTATGTATTTGAGCTGGGATGTCAAGCGAGGAAAATCCGGGCTTGCAATACTTGATGATTTGGTCATATCGATTCAGTGTAAAATAATCTCCAAAACACACACCTTGCAACAGTTTATGGAGAAGGGGCAAGGTCTAGGCCGTCTAGAGCGTAGGCCTTGGAGTGGACGAGCTTGTAATTTATGCATGGCACTATCTTCCAGAGCATGGCAGCTTTGACCCATGCGGCGTGAGGGAATCCCGGCGGAGCTGAAGAGTGTCCACAAGACCCTGAAGAAGCTGCAATCACAAAGCTTGAGTCTCAGTGCTGCACATCAAGAGCAGGGCCCAGAACCAATGGGCTGGCCTTCGGGCGGCAGGTGTCTTGACATACTCCAGGGGTCCTTTTTGCGAAGACTTGAACTCTTTTGCGATCGAGCCAAGTCCCTACTATGACCGTAGTTGGCATAGACATAAGCTTGTCGCAAAACAAGACAAGTACAGTGACCCCAAACTCGCCAAAGACACCCTGGAAATTGTCCAGCACAGCAATCTGCCAGGCGAGTCCCTGATCCGCGGCCAAACGGAAAGCAAGGACTTGTTGCAGAGGCGCGGAGGGAAAACAATGTGTGGGCGCGCAGGAGCATTTTGAAAGGAAGCTTTAATAAGGATCTTGCTCAATTTATGTGTCAACTGTCAACTCACGATAAGTACTGAGGCAAGCTTTGATCAGGTGGCCCATTACATGTCCAGCAGCTAGACATACTGTACTTCATAATTCAAGGATTTCTCGGACTTGCTTAGACTGTCCGTTGGCTGTCAAGAAAGGCAGTTTTATATAGGTTTGATGGTGTGCACCATAACGGTGGAGGATTTGTCCATCGCGTGTCCCTCGATTCCTTGATCCCTCTTGCCAGGTTCGAAGCAGGGGCAGTACAGGTGGCCACCAATGTGGGAATGCCCAGTGCTGGCAGTGTGGGCCAGAGGCCTGACCTGGAAACGTGAAAGGCGACACCGTTGAATAGAACCACATGTCTGCCACACTCTCGACGAGCTGGGTTTATGGCTTAGCCCGGTGGCCATTCTCTCAAAAATCGCAGTACGATGGGTCTTCGTTGGCCCATGCCATCCGTGCTGCATTGTGCTGAACACCTACCGCTTGTGATAGCGGGATTCACGCGCACACAAGGCCCTCCCTGCGGAGGCTTCAGTACTTGAGAGATTTTCAAATCTGCAGGAAGAACATGGAAGAACCTGAATAGGATTTGGATGTTAGACCCAACCACAACCACGAAAAGATGGACAGTGGGAACAGCTGGAATTCTCATATCGTGATGCTGGGCTCCAAACAACCTGAGCGTGAATGAAAGAAAGGCATGGTCGTTTGTAGTCAAGAAGTTCCTGAAGTAAGTAAGCATTAAGGCTGAGGCCACAAGGCAGACAAATGTTGTTCTGAAGAGATCGGTAAGGGCACGACTGGTGTGGTGTCATCGATAACTGCCTGACATGCGTGCTTAAGCGCCGGACAACCTGATTGGTTCTAGCATTTGGACTGAAGCGACTTGAAGCGCGCTAGCAGGTCAGTCGGCCTGAAGAGAACTTGAGATCGGGACAACCTGAAGAGAAATTAAGATCTGGACGGTCAGGCCCTCATCGAAACAGGTTTGAGTTGGACAAGAGTACAAAAACACGTCAAGTCAAGTGTAAAAAGTGAAAACGTATGGCCGCTGTATTTGTCAAAAGGAACAGTTGTGACAAGGCCTTGCCCGCACTATACTTTTTTCGACCAAGCACAAGATAGCAAATTAGACCTGTGTAGTGAGACCGTGAACGTGGAGGATAACGAGCAGCCAGTTGGCTGCAACCGCTGCGGTGGTCGCCCCGGTGACGGGGATGGTTTTGCGCGAGGATCTTCGCCACGTATATAGGACAATCTCGCGATTCGTGTGCGTATCGGCTGCTTCTAACAGGCGGTAAGGGTCGTGAATTTGGGCGCTCATCAAGGCGAGCTGTTGTGCCTAGTTCTTGCGGCGCTGTAGTCCATTGACAAGGCGAAAGGGAGAACATTTAGCAACGTATCAATGCACTCACTCATGAGATGGAGGAGTGCTCGTCCAGCGGACAACTGCACGAGAATGGCCACTTGCATTGTGCTGGGCTACATCCATGGTCGTGGAACACTTTAGGAAAAGGAGACACCAGCACGAAGCTTGAGTCGAAAAGCTTAGAGTCACAAAAACGTTAGACAAGAACTCTGACGCTTTTGTAAAGCGTGGAAAATTCATGAGAAATTTGGCAATCATGGTATGGACAACTCTTGGCACATCTTTCAAGCATAGTGTAATGCAACTTTTTCACATCGCGTAAATCGAACATCTGTTCACAAGAACGTAGGGGGCGAAATTGTTGAACAAATTGAGCAACTGTCGTACGATGTTGAAGCAAAGCAACATGTCCTGTAATACCGTGGGAAACATGGGCGCGTAGCGTGTGTAAGCGTGCGTGCAAGCCAGACAAAGGCACCAATGGGGGTCCAATACTGCATTCTGCCTGACAAAGTTTGTTCCACGGCTGGAGTGGGGTGATTGCGTACAAGGTTGTTGTGTTGGACACGCTCATCCCTCAGAGACAGCGGAAAAAAGTCAAAGAAGCTTGATGTGGCCCATGTACTCTCCAAACTAGCGCCGCGAATCTGACGCAGATCAAGGAAACCACCATACAGCAAACGGTTCTCCCGCGCCGTCGGAGCAATACCTTGTAATTCTGTTATTGCCCGATACTATTTGCTGCGACGTCGCCGAGAAGCGCGGAGAACTTGAAGAGCGCATTCTTGTTCGTAATGCTGCCCTGCAAGATTCCTTCTGCGCGATTAACGAGAAATTCAATGCTCTGCTACGCGCAATCCAAAAGCGTTCAATTAGAAATGTCCTGCTCATTCGTGGAGCGCAATTGAAAATTCCGCGTATACCAGCAACAATGGAGGAGTCAACGTCTGCGCAGTGCAATGAATGAGAGAAGACAACCTTCGCCATTCAGCAAAACCACTGCCAACGCCGGACCCCAAAGGTACAACTCAGCTAGTACTGCAGTCCACATTTGGACTCGTGTAGGTTTTGGGAGAATATCGGCATGAGAAAGCTGTTTGCGGGCATCTATGTAGAGCAAGGGTATATAATTCTTTCACGAGTCGATTGGGAAACTCTCTGCAACATCGTCTAAAGCACTTGAGCTGGACACTGAGTGCTGGAGCGAAAACTGACGAATCCTGAAAGGTCTTACGCAAGGGCAGTATACTGTCTGGAAAATGGTCGGTGGGGGAAGCTGTCAGCGCGCCTGTCCTTTTCTTGGCTTGCGTCGGAAGAAATTGTTGCCGCGAACCCTGCCCAAATTCCACACACTGTAGCCAACAAGCATGTAAATGGTTTTGCCATCGCTGTGTCAGAGAGTGTGGGAGATGCCAACTGAACAATGGACCATCAGTAATGGTCGTTCGGGTGGAACGATCTCTTGAGACCGGACCTGAATGTTTTGGCTTTTTGTACTCAAGTCGGGTGTGGGCGGTCGCTCGATGCCGGCTGCTTGCGGTGCGTGTTCGAGGACGCACTTCGTTGAGGAGGCGCTGCAGGTCATCCCAGGTCCAGAGCCCAAGGCAGAGTACACGGGTTCAGGCTACAAGCGCTGGGCTCACGAAGTACTTGGTGTAGAGGTTGGAGGAGCTACGGAGGTTGCAGAACCCGAGGAGCGAGAAGTCAGAAGGGAGGTGAGGCGAGCCATCTTCATCCCGAGTTCCACGAGGATGGCATGGAGTCAGAGAAGACGTCAAGGAAGATAGCAGAGGATCAAGAGGGTGGAGGAGGCCGGGAGAAGGGGCGTCGCAGGGTTAACGAAGCCTTGTCAGATCTGAGGTCAAAGCTCAAGGAAAGTCTGGGAAATGGTGGAGAAGCCGGCTGGCTCAGAGTGGACTCAAAGATAGCGCGCTTCGTCGATATCGCGAGGCTGTATACAAGGCTTTTGAAGACTGGGGTTTTACATTCAGGACTATGAGTCGATCACTTCATTTGACCTGGAGTTGGGGGATTTTCTAGGGTACTCATATGAGCAAGGAGAATCAGTGGCTTTCGCTGGTGACCTACCAACTCAGCGGCTTGCAGGCATTCCTGCCTTTCCTCAGAAAGAAGCTATCCTATAGCTGGCGCCTTTTCGCACTGTGGCGAAAGAATGAACGAAGCTGGCAAGCGACGCCATCAGGTTTGGACTTGCTTTGGCAGATATTACAATGGCATTCCTTCTCGCCGCTGGCTACTTCGGACTGGTGAGACCCTCAACATGTGTTTTGGAGACCTGAAACTGGGCGAGCAAGAGCTGATAGTACACCTGCCCGACACGAAAACTAGTGTCAAAGGCGGCCCGGTGAACATGTTGTCGCACACGAAGCCCAAGTTTTCCATCTGGCCAGTACCCTGTTGTCATTGGGCCCTCAAAGAGGACTCATTTGGAAACACCCATATTCCGTCCGACAGGGGGGGCAACACAGCTGTACAGAGCCCAAACACCCATGGGCCTGATTCTCATAAAAGGTAGACGGCGAAATTTCGCCTCAGCAAGGCTTTACATTTCGGAATGACAGAGCTGGCTGCCGCCAACTTTTCAATGAAGACCAAGGCTTTGCTTAAGATGTACCATTCATTTATCAGTTTTTCTTCGTCTAGGCAGACGAGCTGGTGAAACCAGGGTGGCGTGGAGTGATAGCAACTTTTCGGTTTAAAGTTCGTTTCGCGCAACAAAGCATCACCACACATGTCCTGCCACATGGACTGACGGTGGAAAGAATAATGTTTGTGATGCTTGTATGGCTCTGCCACATGAGCCGGAGAGATTTGTGTTGAATGGAGGGCACTGAAGTACACTAAAGTTGCCAAAAAATGAATTGAGCCGTGACGCATGTCACCCTTTTCTACAACGCTCACCAGCTGCTCACAAGTAAAAGAAGCGGCCGATCGAAAGAACAATTTTCATTTGCAAAAGGAGAAAAATGTGTTCACTGCAACGAGGAGGTTGTTGCATCACTTGTAGCCCGACTCATTATTGACCTGAGTCAAGCGATGATAGGTGCGGCGAAGACTGCGATCTGCTGTTTGCGAACGGAGACGAAAACAAACCACGGAAGCTGTTGAAACCACTGGCGGTCAAGCAAGGTTGCACACTGACACTGCAAACCTGAAGCAGCTGCCGATTGGCCTGCGAAAAGTTAAAAATAGAAAGTGCCAAGCGCCGCAGCCACATGAAAGGTTGTCGTTCCTCCCAAGACAGAAATAAAGACCTGTGCAAGAAGGAAGAAAACAGTAAGAACCTGCGCAAGAGAGAAAAAAACACGTGGGCGCAACCTGCACTTGCTCTCACCAGTGTGACAGAGTCAGCTCTTCAACAATTGAGCCCCGCAAAAATCTTCAAGTGATACCGTACGGTCATGTTTGACGACTTAACTGTCGCCAAGTAAGTTGCGCGCCCGAAACACATTGTGAATGGTTGGTGTTAAGTGGAGCTTTCTAGCATTGGAAATGTCCGGAACACAGTTTGCAACACCCCCCACTCAAAAATTGCAGGTATGTTCTTGGACGGGCCTTCGTTGGCCCATGCCATCCATGTGCCCATGGGCCTCCTCCATTGTGCTGAAAATCAAACCGCTTGTGATAGCGGGATACACACGTTAGGGTGTCACCACGGACTTTGCCGTGCCGCAGTCCTGAAACTCACAATGCCATTTCATTGTCGCTTAGTATCATTTCGTGCTCCAGTTTTTCTGTCGGGTGCTTTGACATCCGTGTCAGGCTAGCCACACCAGGGGCACACAACTTCGCGGGTGGGCGGCCTGGTGGAGTTCCTTGGAATTTAAAAAGGTCTTTCCTGCTGCAATGGTTGCCGATGCCGGTGAAACATTCAGAACAACCTTTGGAACTGAGCAGAGAGCGGAACTTTTGTCGAGCATGTTGGACAAACGGTTCAAATGTGGAGGACTCATGGGGTGGACTCATGGGGTGGGCTCATGCTGATGGACCAAGGCCCAGCTCATGCGACAAGCCTCTCGAGGGCAGCTGGACTCAAATCCGCCGCCAAGTCTGGCACCTCCGTCAGATCAAGGCGACTGCCGAGGGAAACCGTTTGAATTTGATTGTTTATGATCATGATGATCTATGTGACCTCCTCCGATTTTTTTACTCGTAGCGAGAGGATTTGGAGAAGAACCTATATAGTCTCCTTAGGGCACCTGATACGACCGAGAAGGAACTAAGCTGACGGCTGACGCACAACATATTCCGGGTCAATGTGATTGGCCCTCGGGAACGCTGACATCAGGAATCATCCGGCGAACTAGCGTGGCGATCGGCATGGGAGGTTGGGGATGCCCAGTTCCGCAGGACAATGGGAGAACTATGGAGAAGTCGTGAGAAGTCACTTCTGACATGCACGCGGGGATAAAGTATAGAGTTGTTTTGTTCTTTTTCTCTCTTGATCAAGTCAAACATGCTGGATGGAGCTTGAGGGTTGGCGTGTTCTCTCCAAGTTCCACCACATGGCCACGTTTTGTATGGTTTGATCCGAGGTAATGTGCCTTTCTTCGGCCGCCCTCCAGCCCCTTGGAAGACATCAAGATCGACGGTAGTTCCCAATGCCAAGTTTCTATAAATTTCTTCAAACTCAGTGCACAGGGTGCGTCCTTGCTCCTAGTAATGCCCTTTGCTCCTAGTAGCTTCTTGTTCCTAGTAAGGCCAGGAGCTACTAGTAGCATCCTTGCTCCCAGTAGCGATTACTAGTAAGTGCGTAAGGTAGAATGCAAGCTTGACGCACCCAGGCCGCAGCGCCGCCCCCGCAGATGGTGCCGCAGGTGGTGCAAATGCAGGTTCCTGCCATGCAGCCGTTGCAACCCATCCAGCCCATGATGGCACCGATGGGAGTGATGCCTACTGCACCGACCGGCGGCACTCGACGTGCGTCCCTGGCAATGGGTGCAGTGCAAGGAGCAGTATCTCGGTCCGAGTGTTCCAGGATTCTAGCTAACAAGGTTCGCTAGTAGTAACAAGTGCATCGCTAGTAGTAACAAGTGCCTTACTGGTAGTAACAAAAAGCTATTAGACTTAAATTAAAAGCTTCTTGTTACTACTAGTAAGACACCTGTTACTACTGGCGGTTACTAGCGTGGCACTTGTTTCTAATAGCTTCTTGTTACTACTAGTAAGGCACCTGTTACTACTAGTAAGGCACTTGTTCCTAGTAGCTTCTTGTTACTACTAGTAAGGCACCTGTTACTAGTAGCGTGGCACTTGTTACTAGTTTGACAATTTGACAGCTGCCATTGAGATTTGCTGGGAAATGCGTGATGCACACATCGTGCGCACCACCTTCAAGATTTCCGTAGGAAGAACATTGGCAAGTGCTGTTCTTCGGAACCTGTTTCAGGAATGGATATGATATGAGATATGCTATTCACCATCAAACATCGGTCAAATCTCTTTGCAAGATGGCCCTGCTGCTTTTCCATACAATAGCATCCTTTATTTAGCCATGGAATTCCTGTTGAGCCTCCGCGTTCGATGCGAATGTTTCCTAAGGCAGCTGCACCTGCACAGCAGATTCAGCAGATGCAGGCTGTCTTGCCGGCCTTTCAGGAAGCGGACGAGGCTGGTTGCCGTGGTCGCTGTGGTCGTCACGGTACGAGTCAAACTTTGTTAATTCAAACTTTATTTATTGTTTTTTTTGGATCATGAAGTCGAGCTTTCAGCCTTGGTTAGATGTTCAATGATGATATTCAATCATTGGTAGCCAGTCGTTGGAGTGTATTCAAATATGAGCCCCTGGCCCAACTGCTTTTGGCCTACTTTTCCTCTTCGAGGGGTTTTGGGAGGTCTCCCTATTTTAATACACGCTCGTATGTGTATGAATTTTCACGGTTTATGTAGAGTTGGGATGTTCGACTCAGGTGAAGCATACCCCTCAAGCGCACCCCGAAGCATAACCGCGTACCCTTTGAAGATAAGCTTTAGTCTTCTTAACACCACGGGAAGCATCCCCGAAAGCATACCCCAAAGCACACCTCCAAAGCATACCCCATAGTCAAACATCCCGGTCCGGCCATATGTCGTCATACTCCTGGTACAATCTCCAACATTTGTTCGAACGGGTGGAGTGGAAACTAGAAGAATCTTTTGAGCTATAGTCTTTTTTCAGGCAGCAGGCAGCCCACTATGGGTCACAGTTTGGTCTAGAGTCTACAGGTTTTTGTGACCACACTTTGGCTTCCCGTTTTGGTACTTCGTTGTGGCGGCTTTGGCAAAAGGGACATTCCGACAGAAGCATTGCTGTTTTGGCGAGTTTCACAAAGCATGGCAGGATGATGAAGGTTTTAGTGACTCCTCCGATGAGGCCTGGGTGAAGCATTCTAGTGATGAAGGGTGATTGTGAGCGGTCAAAGGTTGAGGCATGACTCTAGAAGTCTGGGACGGACGTGGGAGAGTCACCAGATGTCGGGAACTATGGACATGTCTAAGATAAGAATTTATTTGTTGCTTCAATCTTTGATGAGCCAAAGCAGCTTGAAAAGTCAAGGTGCGGACAGAAGGCTTGAGCTTAGGCCCACGATGGACGGACACTATCCACTCACATCCTTGTGGCTCATGAGGACGAGGAGGAGCAGAAACCGGAGAATCAGAAGTCCCCGATCTTGAACGGCGTCGTGAAAGCTGGCTCAGAGACTACTCCGGATGCGCAGGCCGAACACGAAGTGTGTAGGTTCATCGCACCGCCGGGTTGTGAGCAACCAAAGTTTGCTTTAGTTCCTGCAAGAAGGGATGGGGTATGATGTATGATGACTTGCTCTTTTTGCCTTCAAGTTCTGAGTGGGCCTTGGCCTTGCAAGTTTGATGTAGTTTGGATAGGGTCTGGAAGAACCAACCTTGAGTGGTTGTAGAAAATAGTTTGGACACCGGTATACCTATCCTTCAAGTCAACAGAAAACTGGCGCGATCGAGGGACGACTGGATTCATTTTGGTACACTCCAGTCACCCATTGATGAGAGGAACACCTAGACCTGCAGATTTTGGTTTGGGACTGCTAACCCATAAGACTATGGTGCTCACCGGATTTTCTGATTCGAACTGCTGCCCAGGAGCAGCTTGCTACTTGTATAGTAGAGCGTAGAGTGCGATTAGACTCCTAGACTAGCATCAGACTGGCTCAATGAGAGGTTGTGCCAAAGCCGCCTGCCATAAAGAATGTGCAGTTGAAGATCGAGGACAGGATGCTGTGTACTGAATTGGCCAAATCAACTTTTATTGCCTTTGCAAGACTAGAGGATATTAAGCTTGCCTAGGTATTGGGTGTGATTATGCAGTTCAATTGCCACGATTTGTCTCAAAAAGCTCGTAACAAGGCTTTGACATGACATGTTGAGGAGAAGGATGAAGATGAGCTTTCGTTCCTCGTTCAAAAGGGCCTTGAGATCAAGCTTCCGAAGTCGTTTTTGCTGAGCATGTCTAGACCACACGGAACAAAGAGATACTGCAAGACAAAGATACATATATTTGTATATATAAATACGCATAATGTTATATGCTGTATATTTACATATACAATGTCTCGGTACTCGGGGCATTAAGACCATGTGGGGATGCTGTCAGCGCTATGCGTTCTCACTTGTTCCATTTCTTGCTGTAATCTTACAGCAGACACATTGCGTTTTCATCGCTGATTGCCATGATGTGGTGAAACAATTGCAAAATGTATCCGCGTACATGCAAGCGCGTCATGAGTCCGAACTGACGCACCTGCAAGCTGAAGGTATTGTTCTCACAGACAATTTGAGCATTCATTATCAATTTTCCCTCAGCCTTGCACTCCTAGATGCCCAGAAAGAGTGGGGTTTCTCCAATTGGAATTCATCGGGTTTGGTGGGGCTGATGGAGTTCTCTTGAGGTTCTCTCCGTCTTCAAAGTCAGACGAGGACCGAGCTCTGTGAAATGCTATCGCTTGTCGAATTGTAGTCGTGTTTGTCACCTGTGATCAGTGACCGAGCGGTGCTGAGAAGCTAAGGGACGCCGCTTTGGATCTTCATGTGCTTGTTTCGGGATTTGTCATGTTTGGTGTGGTCGCGGTGCCTGAAGCATATGCACAGAAGGTACTGTACCCAAAGGGTACCATGCACATCCATGGACATCCATGATCCATGGACCATACTACCAGTGTGTGAAATGCATAGCTGCATACTTTCATATTCCCAACTGCTCTTGGCACAAACTCAGCTCGTGGGCAGTGTGCCTTCCATAAGCACCGGAGGAGACCTCCTTCAGTCAGCAAAGGTGGACGCTGAAAGGAGCACAGCCCAACGAATCGGCCGAGGTAGGGGACTTCGGATCAACATCCCGAACGGCATCAAGTCAGAGGGTTGAGGAATGAAGTACTCTTGTGATCTACTTTACTAGACAAGAGTACCCTTGGCCTCAGATGAAGTTGTGGAGAGTCAAGAGCAAGAGATATGCAGAAACATACCTTCGTGGGTGCCCTGTCCTTTGCGCAGGCCAGCCGCCTGAGCAGCATGCGAAGTCGAGCGTGGCAGGACGGAACCGGTGAGGGCACAACGTCCTGCCTAGCTTGAGTCTACTCATGTGGCAGTGGGTCAAAACCTGGAGCTCAAGACCCTGGTCGGTTGACCATGTCTGGTAGTCTATTCTTTTCATTCTTGCTGGTCAGCCAGGGTACCCTGGTTTTGATCCACGCCATGTAATTATATATATAATAGAGCGACAGAGATAGAAACGTCAGTCCCCATCAAGCATGTATTGGAAATCGTTGTTGATGGTTGTTTGCTGTTGGGGAACCATTGTGAGTGAGTGCGGTTCCATCAGATGCATGTACAACCAGGTTGGGACTTTCGTTTTGCCCAGGACGATATTGGCAATCAATTGAGGGAACCCAAAAGCAGGCAGGATTGCTTGGACAAAGGGAGTGAGTTCAACTTCCAAGGTTCAAAGGGATACGGTGGCACAGAGCAGCCCATTTCTGCTCAGACATTGAAACTCCTAAAGTACAGTACCTTCTTTCTCCTTTCGCCAAGGCCCACTTCTTGTTTCAGTGTTCATGCTTCATATTGCCTGCAGACGGCAGAATAGAGGCACCGCATTGGCCAAGTCTCCATAAGTCTCCCACATTCGAGGTGATTCTTGTTTGGGTGGCAGGGGAGTGTGCAAGATCCACTTGATGCTTCCCGGGGAGTGGGGTCAAATCCTTAAGGTACCTTCTGATGCCTGACTCTTTGTTTAGCTTCAGCCGTGAGCTCAGGGTGTCTCTGGAGATCTTTGCACTAGGGCTTTGCGGGAATCCAGGGGTGCAAGCTTGTGTTCAAGGACACCAAACCGAGCAACTGAAAGAGGCCAAACAATTGAACATTGAACGCTCATATAGGAGGATGGTAAGCCTGATCACCCAACTACTAATCACGAATTACTCACACTCTGCCAAGCCTGTCGCTAAGGCTGGTATTGCCTTATGACGCTTTGCACCCTCATGTGCGTGCCGGCAAGCTTAACACTCCGTTTGTTAGCCCAGATGAAAGACCCGTCGAAAAACTCGCTCTTCTGTCGCATGAGTCCAGAGAGTCCGACGATATCTGGGGCGCTGTGCCGGCTGTGCCGCCAGGTTGGCTGGGGTCCTCCCAATCCAGTTGACTTACTACTGGGGCGATATTTTACCCGGCTGGGAACCGATTTGGAGCACCTTGGCAGGACTAGGCGAGGGAGCCTTAGACAACGTTTTGCCAGGAATCCGCCTTTTTGCTATCAGAAACGGCATGCTCACACATTCAGGTGGATGTGAAGGCGAATCTGATAGTTAGTAAGGATATATAAGGAGGATTATCATGATCTATATAGAATCTAGATGCTCGCTGTGCTCGCGCTTTGTACTTTATACACAGTCATACTGGAACACTTGCGAGGAAGTCAACACAAAAGCAGGTGTCCTCCACGCTGGCAGAACGGTCTACTGTATGTTCTTTATGGAAACATGACTGCCTGCTGAGTCCTGGTGGACATTTGCCTCATCATAGAAGTCTGATCCTCAGGCCTTGCAAATCAAAGTGAGGGCCCACAGAAAGGGACAGGCATGAAAAGACCATGAAAAAACATCAAATACATCAGGTCATCGGACCGTGCGCAGACTAGGAGCAAGCACGCTACTAGGGGCTCCTGGCATCGGGCTCCTGGCCATACTACTAGGAACAAGAAGCTATTAAAAACAAGAAGCAGGAAGATTTTGAGAAGTTGAGTCCCAGCCCTTGGGCCACGCACCGCACACACCGCACGCACCGCACCGCACGAACCGCACGAACCGCGTCTGAGGTGCCCCTGGGTTTCTTGACGACTCAGCTCGATCCCAAGACCATGCAGTTCATGGAGCTGCATCAGGTGCCATGCTAGCACTTCTTGTTACTAGTAGCAAAAGGAACCTAATAGGAATGGCCTCCACCTCCACCCTAATAGCGATGGCCTCCACCAGTAGCTTCTAGCCACTAGTGCTACGTGTCGCTGGTTTCACCAGGGAATTGCTGGTTCTTGCTTTTGCCATGGGCTGGGTTGCCAGCTGTGAGCTCATTTCAAAGTGCACGCGGGAGACATTGACGCTCCAACATAAAGTTAGTTCCAGCGTACTGCCTGCAATGTTTCCTGAATGCTACTGCCCAAATCAGAACCTGTTTCCTTTTTTAAACATTATCCGTTTGTCCAACATGTCCGTATATAGGAGGAGGACAGCCACTTTTAAGTGTTGCAGTATGGCCTGCTGCAAACTTCCACTCTTCATCTCAGGAATTCCGGACCGGGAATTTCTGTCAAGCAAGGTATAAGACAACCATAGTCGATTCTGGGATCGTGCGTTGTAACTGATTCGGTGCAGGTGATGGTGAGTTATGCGCGGAGCTGGTTAGCAATAGATGTTTTGGCCATGTGGCCCTTGGGCATCACAGCGGAGCCAATGTCAGCGGGGCTCGGAGGCCAAGTGGTTGTGGGATTGTAAGTTTTCGCTACCAGGAGCAAGGACGCTACTAGGGGCTCCTGGCATCGCTACCAGGAGCAAAGACGCTACTAGGGGCTCCTGGCCTTACTACTAGGAGCAAGGACGCTAGTAGGGGCTCCTGGCATCGCTACCAGGAGCAAGGACGCTACTAGGGGCTCCTGGCCTTACTACTAGGAGCAAGGACGCTAGTAGGGGCTCCTGGCATCGCTACTAGGAGCAAAGACGCTTCTAGGGGCTCCTGGCCTTACTATTGGGACCAAGTAGGTAGTCTCTACTCAATTGAGGAGCGGGCTTAACGACAAAAAAAAGCCTGGTGAAGTCCTGGAGCTTTGATCCATTTCTGGCTTTTGATTGAGATTTGGTCCAGAGCGGTGGAGGTGTATCTCTTAGCTTGTCGGTGGTAGAGCTTTGCCTGTGCCACCGAAGGAAGGGTTTGTGTGGGTTTGTTCATTCTTCTATCAGGAACGTGTGACAGTTGGACTCGTACTGTAGTCTTCCCGGTCAAAAAGTGCTTTCAAGCACTGGCCATTATCCGTGTAAACAAACTGCTCAAGTTTGACTCCCGTCGCTGAGGTATATCATCCACAGGCCAGGGCCCGAGCGAGAGTAGCGCCAGTGCAGGTTACAAGTTGGAACAACTACAAGACGAGGAGTTTTCATGAAGCCAGCATTCTGCAGTTTTGCCGGTCGTTTTGGAGGCAACAAGGCAACACTTCGACCAACCAACACTTCAAGACCAGTGTCCAAGACCCTTTTGACATGATTTTGCGGCCTGTCCTTTGGATGCTTTTTGCAACCACCCAGGTTTGCGCGTGCTTATAACCTCAAACACAGACTTACAACGTACTGTGCGTTTGATTCACTCTGTGTGGGTAGCGTGTGACTGTCGGAACACAACTCATGTATACATGGGCTTGTCTTTTTTTAAGGTGTCCAGTTTATGTAGGGCTGGGATGTTCGACTTAGGCGAAGCATACCTCGAAGCATACCCCCGAAGCATACCCTGAAGCATACCCTCTCGAAATGCTACTACTTTAGTCTTCACACTGCGCGAAGCATACCCCGAAGCATACCCCCGAAGCATACCTCCGAAGCATACCCCATAGTCAAACATCCCGGCCCGGGAACCTTAAAAAAATACAAACCCACATTGGCATTGAAGCTCAAAATACACGGTAGATGAAGGTAGAGGGTATATTTCTGCATGACCAATGACAAACTTGCTTTTGAACCCTCACACATCGTTTTCCCCCTGTGCGGGACTTCCCATCTGGAAGTCCCTTGTCTGAGGTGTTTGAAACTGCTGAAACTCTTGAAGCTGCGCTACTGGTTCCCACGTATCGAGGATAAGATCCAGAATCGGAAGCTGTCGGGAACCTGGTAAACTCTTGGACCGCTACTGTAGGGAGGACAAGATGCACAAGAATCAAGAAGCTACTACTGTAGGGGCTCCTGGCATCGCTACTAGGAGCAAGGACGCTACTAGGGGCTCCTGGCCATACTACTAGGAGCATCCTTACTACTAGTAACAAGATGCACATCAGCGCAGAACATCGAACATTTGGTAGACATTGCACTGGTCCCTCTTCTGGTCGAGGCTGGATTTCCTGGGCAGAGACCAAACCAGCAGATTTGCTCGACCTGCTTTCTCCATCAGACCATCACAGTTTACTTACACAGAGGAGCAGTCTCAGGTCTTGGCTGAAGATGTCAGGCGCCATGCTCCTCTTGGTTCATGGGCATCTTGGCAAGTGAATCGCAACAAAAACAGCTCCTTCACCCCACGCTGGCATATTTAAACAGGTCTGCATATTAGCTGGACTTTCTTCTTTGCTTGTTTCATTTGTTTCTTTTTTTTGTTTGTCGAGTCTCGGAGTCTCTTCTGCGTGGCATTTTCAACAATGGGCCCAATTGGAGGGGCCGTTCTGTTTCACTTAGTCCAAACGGTCCAACGGCACAAGATCATCTCCAACAGCCCAACGCACAGACGCACGTTTGTAAGCGGCTGTGGAGAGGGTAGTAAGGATGGCATCCATGAGGTCAAACCGGTTGTGCAGCTCCTGCTGATGGAGTGAGACAATGCAGAACGTCCAAAACCCTCAACCAGAACCAGAATGATCTCTAGCATCTAAGAACTCTTTGACAGTTGGACCTGCTTTGCAACCTGTTCTAGACGCTCCTCTAATCCTTTAGCCGTCAAGAATCCCTAATTCTGGCTGTTGGGGAAAATCCAAGCTCCAACCCGTAGTTGCCACAGCTGCATAGAGCTCGTCTGAGGCTGGGATGCGTGTGGTTTATTGTACGCCAACAAGACCTGGACTCTCACGGCGCAGTGGGAAGTGGTGAGGACTACGTCGCAGATGTCTACTTCGTGGCTTGACACAACCGAGAGCGGTTCGCACCTAATTGGAGGCACCAAGTGATCGAAACAAATCCAAAGCCTTGGGTTCTTGCAATGTCTCCTTCAGACTAACTCTATTGCTATTGCTGGTTGGTTGCTGGCATAAAGATATTTCAATTACTTTGCAGCAAGAGTAGAGCCCAAGTTTTGTTCAGGTAGTCATGGCCCTGACCAGCGTTGGGTTTGGCGACATAGTACCTCTTGGCACCGGAGCCTTGGCAAACATGATTGGCTGCTGGAACATGGGATGGCTGAATCCAAGATCCAGGTTGATTTGGACACTGTGAGGGGTGACAGTTAGTGGTGCAAGTATCTTTGTTCTTCCAAAACCTCCGGCCAGCGACCCATGATCGAAGAAGATTGCTTCTGCTTCCACAGCTATGAGGTTGCAGGCCATCGCTATTAGGTTGGAGGCCATCGCTATTGGGGGCAAGGACGCTACTAGGTGCTCCTGGCCTTACTACTAGGAGCAAGAAGCTACTAGGGGCTCCTGGCATCGCTACTAGGAGCAAATAGCTACTAGGAACAAAGGCCATCGCTATTACTGTAGGTTCCTTTTACTTTGCTTTGGTTCCACAGCTACGCGTCAGACGGCCCGTCAGGTGCCCGACTGTACTGCGTCATGGTAATGTTGGCCTCCAGCCTGTTCTCTGGGGTCTTGGTCGCCTTCGTGGCACAGGTGGGCTGCACCAAGTAGGTCACTAGGTCAATTTCATTTGATCTTCCAATAAGAAGCCTTAGCCTTACACTGCAACCAGTCATTAGCAAAGAAGGTCTCAGACTCTAGACATGGGTTTCAAGCACGGTGAAACCATTGTTTGGTGGAACTGAGCTTGCCTTTGGGGAGGCTTTGCGGACAGTTTTCGACAATGAAGTTGAAAGATATGTCCGGCACTTGGTGGTTTGCTTCGCACCAGAGGCGATTGCTCCTAGTAGCGATGCCCTTTGCTCCTAGTAGCGAACATTGCTCCTACAGATTGAGGACCCCCCTACAAAGTGAAGTTGTGACGTGTTGCGACCAAATGATGTGCTTCTGGGCCGATCTACTGTTAGACTGTTGGTTTAATGTGTACGTATAGAACTCATGTGGGTTCCATCTTTAACCAGCATCGCATGAACATTGACCAAACTTGTTCTCTCAACCAGCGCACCGTAGGGTGTTGGAGTCAAAGCGAGTGCTTTATAGAACTACAAACAAAAGGGTATAGAGCATGGACGCTACTAGGGGCTCCTGGCCTTACTAGGAGCAAGGTCAATTTTGAGGAGTAAAGTGCAGCGGATCTGTCCTCGCGTGGGTTGTCAGCCGTGCAAGGGCCACTCAGCGGAATGAAAAACGTAGCTGCCTACAACCTTTTGGATCTACCGATCAGCCTCTTGATCCACGGTCTTACAGGATTCCTAGCAGGGCCTTTGTTTCAACACATCATTCTCAGTCAGATTCAGGCACTCCCTTCTCATTACAGCCACAGCAAGAAGCCAGCCCTTCAACATGTAACATTCATTGAAATTCACATATATATATATATACACAAGTCCAGCCAGCAAATATGTGTAATTGTAAACGATTTGTATGAGTTGTATGCACGGTGTTCTGAGAGGTTTGGTTTGTGTGGGCCCTGCCAAGGTTTGGCAAGCCTCTGAGTTCATGCGGATGCGAAAGGCCCAAACAACTGACAAGTCACAAAAGGATAAAGTCTGTTGAGTTCGAGATGATGTCGATCAATGATGTCATTCAATATGTGAAAACATGATACATCCAAACTCCTTTTCTTTAGCAGATATTCAGTATCTAACAATGTTACTTGGCTGACTACCTTCTGCCGTTGTTGAGGATTTACGCAACTGAACCACAATCTCTTTAGGGATTTTGCAACATATTCGCTGCCAATATATATGCAGGCTGTTACGCAGTAATAGTGTGTTTTGTAAACGTAACAATAACGAATGAAAGATAGTGAAGAAGTGGTTGTGCATCCGTTGGCCATTTTGGCTACAAGTGGTCAACCCCCCCACACACACATTTTGAAGTGGGCCATGGAGTTGGGCTGGACCCCGGACCAGGGGGAGGATGTGGCGGGGGGGTTGACAGCCATCACTGTGGACGATGACGACGAGGAGACCCTGCAGGAGCTAGCTGGCAGAGTGCGGGAGGTGGAGGCCATGCGCATGGAGGACATGGCGTGCCAGGCCGATGCAGTCGAGAGCCCAACGGAGATCTTCGGGGAGGAGCAGCCAGGCGGCCAGGGAGAGGAAGTCAGTCCCCTCCTGAAGCTGAAACAGGCTGTGGATGCGGCAGCGGCATCGAGCTCCACAGCAGGGCCTCCAGATGTCCACATGGAGATTGACAAGGACGAGTACGGCATCATAGAGAGCGAAAGGCAAAAGCTGAAAAGGTTCGTGCCCGAGTCACTGCGCATGCCTTGGGAGCGTGGCTTTGCTGGCGTGGTGTTGGGTGGAGCAGACAAGCATTTGCAGGTGAGCTCATTGATGGAGTCTACAAGAAGCGCCAAGTTCATGGAGATCGAAGTCGAAAAGAAGAAGGTGGAGTCAAGTGAAGTGAAGATCAAGCCCAGCTTCGTCATCAAGGACAAGGAGAGGTTGCCTTGGGACCGAGCCCAGTCAGAAGAGAGAGATCGCTTGCTGACAGGGTGGAAGGTGGTGATAGCCGAGGCGGGAGACCACTCCAAAGTGGAGGCCATGATGCGACAGCATGGCGAACAGGTGTTGGATGACGTGTTTGCCAAGAAGAAAAATGGCACGTCACAAGTCAGACTCAGTGCAATGATGCTGTATGTGCGTTGGTCAAGAGCAAAGGGGCTGGACCCGTTCCCCCTTTTGGAGGATCAGTGCTATGCCTATGTGGACCAGCTGCGACGCGATGGGGCACCGGCTACCCGGGCAAGCAGTTTCCGCAGGGCACTAGCCTTCTGCAAGGGCACGATCCAATTGGGGGGAGTGGACGAGATCCTACAGAGTGGTAGGATTACGGGTTCAGCCCATAGAAGCTTTTTGACAAAGAGGACCCTCAGGCAGCGTGATGCATTGACAGTTCATCAGGTGTCTGTGCTTGAGCGTGTTTTGTGTGGCGAAACGTTCCCACTACAAGATCGCATATTTGCAGGGCACTGTCTGGTGTGCATATACGGCAGGTTGGGATTCGGGGACAGCCAAGGGATCCAGCAGGATCCTGTGGTCGACGGTGGCTACTTGGAGGGTGGGACGTCCACTCACAAGACGGACTCCATCGCGGGCCGGGGTGTCGGATCCTTCCAGTGGTTGCGCCGGAGGTTGGAGTCTCTGGGGTGGCATGGGCAGCCATGCTACTGAAGCTCAGAGAGCTAGCGGGGCTGAGGGGACTTCCGGGCAGGCCGTTTCTGCCGACCCCAGTGCCTGGTGGGGTTGGAGTTCAGCGAAGCTGTCCACGTCTGAGGCATCAGTGTGGCTCTGCGAAGTGCTGAGGAAGTACTCCTTCAGCCCGGGAGTGCGACAATGTCGGTGCGCGTTCACTCAAAGCCACAGCCCTATCTTGGCTGGCCAAGTTCATGGCCCCTGAGAAGATCAGGCGGCTCATGGGGTACCACGTGAAGCCGAAGGACAAGACAGTCTTGATCTACTCCCGTGATGCACTGGCAGCAGGTTTGCAAGTGCTGACTAACATCATCACCAGCATCCAGGACCGCAAGTTCAGGCCAGATGCACCGAGGAATCAGAGGTTCGTGGACATGGTCCCCATGGAAGTGAGTGAGCAGGCAGAGATTGGCCCCGAGGAAGAGATCAACGAGCCCCTAATGCCTGAGGCCAAGGAGAGGTGGCAGATGCACGAGATCCCAACGCCTGAGAGGAGTTCCCACAGGCTGGTGGAGGCTGAACAATCCTCGAGCGACGAAGCCGAGTCGACGCAGGAAGGTGCCGAAAGTGAAGACGACCGCAACATGGAGGCTGTGATGACCAGCCGCTTGCGGCCGCCGAAGAAGTCGATCGCAGACCTGTATAGGCACGGCATCACGGGCACCGTCCATCGCGGGAGCACCGTGGAGGGGAGGCTCGCACGCGGCAGGCCAATCTCCGGTGTTACGATCAAGCTTGAGGAGGAGATCTATGCCCTCGGGAACAGGTGTAAAGTGTGCGAGGGCTACCCCAAGTAAGATGCTGGGGCAAGTGAGGCGCGGAGAAAAGTGTTGCGGTGCGTGCAAGTGAGCGCAACGACGAGTGTGTCAAGTAGCCTGGATTTACGTGTTTGCTTTTCTTTGCGTTTCATGTGTGAGTGAGCGTAGTCAAGTGAAGTAAGCAGAGTGAAAGGTTTGGATAGCGCCAAGTAGAGAAGTCGAGGCGGTAGGTTTGGAGGTAACCGCAAACTAGACGCCATAAGTAGCAAAGTAAGTGCACAAGTGTGTGAAGTCAACCGGTGGGAGCAGTTCCCACACGCGGCCTGCGACCGGGAAGTCCGGATCAGGTCAGAAGTGGGCAGGGACGTCCTGTCGATGGAAGTGAGTGGCAGAGGACTGACCGGAGTGGAGAGGGTTTCAAACGTGAAACGTCGGAGACAGTGATACGTGCAGGTGCAAGAGTGAGGTGAAGAGAGGTTGGTGAGTTTGTAGGGTCGGAAGCAGTGAGGTGAGCACGCAAGTCAAAGTTGGTTCATGTGAGAGTGGGCTCAAGAGTGAGGCCAGGTGCGAACCGATTTGAGCAATGGCCACACTCACGGAGTCGACGGCAGTCTTTGATGCCAAGTTGAAGGACTTGGGCCTCGATGGATACCAGGCAGAGATGAACAGGCGCGGGTGGAGCACTCTATCCACGTTCGCCTTCGCCACCAGTTGGGGTCAGGAGATGAGCTGACCACCCTGACTTGCCCAAGCTCCGCAAGTTGTACCATGAGGCCTACACAGTGGTTGCTGCAGGGTTGAGGCAGCGGCTTGAAGGGACACAGGAGCCAGATGGCTCTAAGACCAGGAAGCTCCCGGCAGTGGAACGGAAGACCAGGCTGCGAGCAACCTACGGGCACTTGCAGATCAATGATCAGCTGGAACCTGCCCATCATGTGGTTGACAAGTTCCACTCCATGAAGATCGATGGGGAGCTCAAGTACATGGCACCCCACGAGATCCCGACCAGGGACCAAGAGCTGCAGAACATCAAGACGGAGGAGCTGATCAAGAGAGACGCCAGTGGACACCTCAGAGCTCATGATGAGGCAAAGATGCCGGATGCAGACACCAGGACCGACCTCAGGCTCAGGCAAGCCTATACAAGGCGAGGCCTGGCGTTGGTTGGAGGTGGCAGACGTGATGACACACGAGAAGCTGGTGGACAAGCTGTTCCAGCAGTGCCTGGCATACAATCAGGTCACACTGGGACAGCTCACAGCAGCTGATAGGCGGGCCTGGAAGTTGATGAGCGAGGAGATCCAGGGTGACCTTGGCAGGAATCCGGCAGGCCGCAGGCTGGCGGATGTGGCATTGGAGAAGGTGATTGCCGAGCCGGCGTTCGTGACGCTTCTGTTAATGCTGTGCGGGCGCAAGTCAAGCAGCGCCAAGGAAGTGAACAAGGAGGGGCCTGCTGTGGAGCAAGAACCCACGGGAGCAGGCAAGAGGAAGTCGATGAAAGAAAACCAGAAGCTGAAGGAGCGCCTGAAAGAAGCAGAGGCCAAGAAGAAGAAGAAGCAGGAGGTGTACCAGTATGAGGAGGATCGATCAG